AAACGTTCCGAAAAATTGGCCGATTTGGGCAAATAATATGGCGGACCGGATGTTATTTAACGTAACCTCTATTTCCATTTGTCATTTAATTGTGTCAACAAGCTACGATGAGATGTTTTTATTGTGGAAAACAAAGTAAAAAGAGTATGAAATAAACAATAAACGTTCATTCCTGAAGACACAATATGCTTCACGTTTCCATTTTTCTATTTTCTTTCATAAAAAATCAAATCATGGGTGAAATTTCCCGTAGGACATCGCACGCAAAAGGAATAGAAGAAGAATAAGAAGAAAAACTAATCAAATTATAGGTTAGGTATGTCAAATTATCACAAATTTCAGTTCTGTGAACCCACCATAATTTGCCCAAATCGGCCAGCATTGTTGCACTTCCGGTCTCCTCGTTGGAACGATTTTTTAGTATGTTAAATATAGCCTATATCCTATCCAGTAAAATAATACAGATCAGTGGGAAAAAGCCTATAATAACTAGATAGGAAAGTCATGTGTTGGACACATCAGATTTTTTCCAATAAGATAAAAGAAGATAAACATACCTGCCGTAATTCAATTGAAATTTCTACCTGCTACGATGAGCTTAGTTGACTCACCTGGTTTTTATTTTAAAACGGAGTACGCAATATATATGTATTCAATTTTTTCTATGGTTCTTAATTCTTTTCTACTATGATTATTTAATAGTAATATTCATTTATTAAGAAAATTGTTACATAAAATTATAGTTTGTACATCTAACTAGTTTTTACATGAAATTGATTTTGGCAACATTCAATTAAACATCCGCATAATGCCACACACGTCATGTTTAGTTTTTAACACGAACAAGCTTTCGTTGCACAATTTTTTTTTCAGTTGCACGGTTTTGCTATGTCTTCAGGTAATGGCGGTTTTGTTAAATACAGTGGCTTTATTTGGTTATTATAGAAAACATAACCAAAACCAGAGAAATCTAAAGGTTCATATTGAAATTGATTTGAATTCCTCCAAATATAAGTCTGAAACGAAGCTCGTAAAGTATGCAATTTCAAAGCATCCGACGTGCATGGAAAAATTTTGTTTTCCTTATTTTCTTAAATGGAGAAAGGCTTGGATATTTTTGAAATCATAAAATTTTATAATCCCAGTACTTGCGTGAACTTAGCGCCCGAGATCCAGCGCTCTCTGGCAACATTCATCCCCACCATTACGACAAATTCACACGATACAAAAAGAGGTTGGCGCTAGGCGCTGGGCTCGCTGACCGTTTATTTTAATATTTTACATACATTTTTGGATTAAAAACATTTTAATTGGTAAAAGATATTGCAAAAAATACCAATTTGATGTAGGTACTGTAGTTTTGAGCAGAATTTAGTTGTAATCAAAGATATAATATTAGAGAATACAAATAAGAATTAGAAGTTTCTGATACCACAAATATTTAATAATTGTAGCGCCGTTAAACGCAATATAGATTGATAAAATGGTCAGCGAACCCAGCGCCTAGCGCCAACGTTTTTGTATCGTGTGAACTTGTCGTAATGGTGGGGATGAATGTTGCCCGAGAGCGCTGGCTCTCGGGCGCTAAGTTCACGCAAGAAACCCCAGTAAGCCAAGGGTATGGTCTGTGAATAAGCCTACTATGTTCATTGTAACAGGTAGACATTTTTCACGGATCACGACAAGTGCATTTGGCCTTTTTATCGTATTGAAAAAAAAAGAGGTTGAAGATATTACTTCTCAGGCAGTATCTGACAATAATTTTTTCATGAATAAAAATAAATGTTTCTGTTAACTTTAGTAAATAAAAAAGTTATCAAAAGTATCTAAAAAAGTAAAAAAAAAATCACATGATACAAAACTATTAATCGGCAAATATAACAAAGTGTTATGAAAAATGTTAATAATAATTTTTTTAAACTTATTACCTCTGAAAAACAGCAAAAAATTGATTCAGCGCGTCATTAGGCTTTCTCTTACCCATCTTATACATAAGGTCTGTTCGGGTTCTTTAAAATACATTGAAAACTATCAGAGGACTAGTTGACCAGTGGACAGTTTAATCGTTGTGCGCGACGTATACTTTAGAATTGAACTGTTCCACTAGTTCTCGGACGGTTTGCATCGAGTTTTAAGGAAACCCGAACAAACCTATTGAGTTGGAAGTGAGATAGAAGTACTCCTCTCTAAAAGTACACGCGCGTAGGAAGCATATTGTTATAACGTAAAAAAACAACACAAAATTTTGAAAATTTATTTTGTTTATTATAGTTTGAATATTCGGTAAAAAATTTAAAATTATAGCATTTTAAATTTTAAGGTATATTATTTAATTCAAGAAAATTAGAATTTTCGTTAATTTCGGATTTTAAAACATTCATAACAATTAAAGGGTTAAAGATACGATGATGGGCGTAAGGACTTTTTTATTCGAAATATCCTAGAGTATAAAAAAAATTAATTCATTGCAAAAAATGCATTTTTTTCTGGCTTAATTAATTTTTCGTTGTTTAAACAATAACATCAACAGATATCGAGTGTCATCTTACACTTTTATAATCAGGAAAGCCTTCCGGGCATTTTAAAATAAAATTACGAATTAAAACAATTTTGCAAACGAATGCGCCACTATGCCCTGCACTAATATATAAATTCGAAAGTTTGGATGGTTTGTTGCTCAATCACGTTGAACTGATCTGGATGAAATTTGGCACGAAGATATGTTATATAGTCTGGACATAGGCTATTTTTTATCCCGGAAAATGTACGGTTCCCGTGGGATAGATTTGTTTTTCACAGAGCAAAGGATCAGACATGATTTTTTGCATAGTAGTAGTGAAACATGAAATTTTTAAATACAGCTACTGAGCATAAATAAATAATGACGTGTTTCAGGGTTTTTGGATTTTCACATTTTAAGGGGCTATCCGTAAACTAGCACAAATTCAAAGAACAGCATGTCTCAACATAACAGGAGCCATGAAAACAACATCGACCAGGGCCATGGAAGTCATTCTCAGTCTCACTCCCCTTGATATTTACATCAAGGAGGTTGCTCTGACGACAATGACACGCCTCCGCACGGTTGGAATAGAACCTGATGTAGGATCTGGTTAGGCGAGACGTCACTTTTGACAGGAAGCGCTGGATACGCTCCCACTGCTTCAAGCGAACATGGACCGAGATATATCTTCCATAAGCCATATAAAGTTATAATAGAACAAATAGAAGAGCCGGAAGTGGCAGGTACGATTCATATCTACACCGACTTTTCTAAAACAAAACATGGCTCACGATGTGGAATATACTCCAGATTCTTAAACCTAAACATAAAATGGGGTGTGAGCAATAGTGCCAGTGTAGTTCAAACAGAACTAACGGGTATTCTCATAGTAGCAAAAGAAATAACCAGAAACAATATCACTGGAAGAAACATGCTCATCTATACAGATAGCAGACAAGCACTAGTCACCCTGAACAGACCACGAATTTACTCAGGGTTAGTACTAGAATGTCACGAAGCTTTGGCCGAAGTATCCATCAACAATGTGGTCACCTTAGGTTGGATCAAAGGTCACGCCACATCGAATGCTGATTCACTAGCCAAGAAAGCAGCCAACCAAATACTTTTTGGACCTGGCCCTTCTATTGGCCTGACAAAATCGGTAGTGACAGATCTAATCAAAGAACATTCCCTTGTGAAATTCAAGGGAAGATGGGGTGAAACAAAAAACTGCAGAGTTGCCAGGGAGCTCTTAAGTTATCCTGACAACACTGCAGCAAACACTATGACTAGACAGAATCTGCGCCTAGTCACAGGCATTCTGACTGGTCATTGCCAAGTACGAAAGCATCTCCATATCATGGGGCTGTCAGAGTCCGCACTCTGCAGAGGGGGTGAACAGGAAGATGAGACCATCGAGCATATACTTTACGATTGCCCGACGTTCTCATTTATTAGAAGATTTGTGTTCGGCGAGTATCGGCTAACACCGGCCGATATAAGAGAAGCACCTCTTGGCGACGTTGTCAACTACATAAAATCTGTAGGCTGGCTCACGAGCTAGGAGGTTCCTATCATCTCAGGAGGATACACAATGGGCCTAAGTGCCGTGGGGGTAACCCACTCTCCACACATTACAGATACAGAAGGGGGAAAACGGGGTTGAAAGTTTACATGGAAGTATCGATTTTTTAAAGGTAGGAACATGAAAATTGGAATTATAGCTCCTCATCACAAATATATAATGGCGTGTTTCAGGGTTTTTGAATTTTCGTATTTAAAGAAAGGAAAATGGGGAAAGGAACGAAAGGGGGGGTGAAAGTTTGTATGGGAGCATAGAATTTTTTAAAGGTAGGAACTTGAAAATTGGATTTGTACCTACTTATCATAAATAAATAGATATGTATCAGGATTTGGATTTGTATTTTTACATATTAAGGGGGAACGGGACGTGAAAGTTTGTATGAGTTTTATGGTTTTTTAAAACTTGAAAATTGGAATTGTAGCTAATCATCATAAGTAAATAATGACGTATTTCAAGATTTTTTTTTATTTTTACATTTTAAGGAGGATGGGGGAATGGGAAATATCATAAAAATAGATAATAAATAAAAATGGATAAAAATAAATAAAACTGAATAAAATAATAAAAAAACAATAAAAAACTAATAAATTAATGAACATTAATAAAAACAAATTGAAAAAATTTCTTTCGAGTAATGATACCTGTTATTCACTTTTAATAATTGAGGTTTGAGAAATTCCAGCGAAGCGGGGTCGGGTCAGCTAGTTAAAAATAATTTTGATCCAAGCCTAATAATGATAGGTGAAAAAAATTATATATATTTAAAAAAAAAATAGAACTTTTATTTGGTTTGCTTACAATTACAAATTATATACATACATAAATAATACAATTAAAATACCACAACTTAACAGGTGTACATTTCTCACCAACATAGTGGATGATCATAATTTTTTCTATAAAGAAAATACATCAGTCTCGATCCGGTTTCAGTCTCTTTACAGAAACCATTTCACTACCCTGCGAGTTAGAATCTTCAGAAAATGTCATGTGAGATGAAGAGAAGTCTGTAGGGCCTTGAGAATCACTTACTGTGGAAAAGCCTACAAAACAATAATTATAATTTACTATAATTTTTTTATTGCTATAAGAGTGAAGAACAGTAAATATAAACTGCTTATGGAATTAGTTGAAACACCTAATTTTATCATTATTTGTAGGACACTGTATCTAAAACGCCTTAGCTGATTTTTAAAAATGAAGAAAATTCTGAATGTTCGTTATTTCTTGTAGTAATGGCTTGCTATGATCTTCAGTAAAAGTCTCTTTTCAGTGTTATACAGGGTGTGCAAGATTACAATGTAAAAATGTAAAATTTTAACTGTCTACACCTGTTGTAATAGTAATTCCAGAATTTTCATCTAATCACATTTAGAAGTTTTGGTCAATATCTTGGAATGTATTTGGCAGTTTTGTATTTATTGGTTTAGAAAAAAGTTATAGAGTATTTTCAAAAAGTTCGCATTTTTTTAAATTATAATTTCAGAAGTAAAATAAATAAAACGCAAAGCCATATATCACACAATATACGAGCGACCGTTTCCCTTCGGATAACAACAACTCCTTTGGCTAATACTAAAACAGGTATTGAATTATATCCAAAGGAAAGCAGATATATAAATCTAATTTCAACACTTTACCTTCAATTTTGCTCACTAGGAAAAACGTAATTCTTTGACAGGTTTCGTCCTTATTAGGACTCACCAATATACAATAAAGGTTAAAAAGAGAATAAGAGTTCAAGTAGTAAAAATGTTCCTAGTAAGCAAAATCAAAGGCAGCTTGTAGTACCCAGTCAGAAAACTATGTGGAACCTATCTTTTTTTTCCTGAAGAGTCCTAATAAGGACGAAACCGGTCCAAGAATGATGATCTCCTTAGTAAGCAAAATCAAAGGTAGACTGTTGAAATTAAATTTCTATTTGCCGTTTTCCTTTGGATATAATTCAATACCCGTTGCAGTATTAGCCAAAGGAGTAGTTGTTTTCTGAAGGGCTTGTATTTAGTGTAACAACATATGGCTTTGCATTTTATTTTTTGATATTACCCTGTAAAGTTTTTTCTAAACAAAAAAATACAAAACTGCCAAATATGTTCCGAGATATCAAGCAAAACTTCTAAATGTGATTATGATGAAAGTTCTGGAATTACTATTACAATAGGTACAAAAAGTTAAAATTTTACATTTTAGTCTATTACACTCTGTATAACACTGAACAGTGACTTTTTACTGAATATCACATCAATCCAATAATACAAGAAATAAAATTTCAGATTGTTCATTTTTAAAAATCGTTTAGGATGTTTCCGAGACACAGTCCCCTACAAATGATGATAAAATTAGGTGTAGTGACTAATTCCGTAACCAGTTTAAATGTACCAAAACTAAATTATTTTAATTTACATTTCATCACTGTTTTATTTTATGTGTAAGCAACTTACTCTGAATGTGAATTAGCTAACATTCATAGTTAACAGGAAACAACATCTAGCAAATCCAGAATTAACCAATTTAGAGCTGATCTTTTCATCTCTGAGTAAAGTTACATGTAGGTTTACTTGACAATTTAATAATAAAAAAATTGTTTACATTTAGATTTAAAAGTTTTTACAACAATTTAATATATTTACATAGCGACATATGTCACACTGTGGGAATACATAACATATATGCCCGGTATTGCAGCGAAGATGTGACAACTCAGTACTTTTGCTAAAGACGTACATTATACATAGCACATAGATTTTACTTTTACCACAGATAATTGAATGAACTGCTGTGAAAAAACAACTTGATGTTAAGTTTTAGTAACTTTACAGGACAGCATACATATCAAGTTGTTGTTTCATCTGTAATATGAATTTCTGACATTTCAGGTAGGGACATGCCTTATATCTGATATTTTTGAGAATTTGACTTATAAGTTATATTAGGTCCAGTCCCTTGTATCAAAAGTGTAGCACTAAGTTACGCAACTTCTGAAAATATTGTTCCATCCAATTTGTATAAATAGAACAATATTTTCAGAAGTGGCATAGCTTAGTGCTATTTTTGTATAAATGGAACAATATTTTCAGAAGTGGCATAGCTTAGTGCTACACTTTTGATGCAAAGGGAAATATCTACCTTATTCTAGATCTCACAGAGACCAGTACAGGGATGATAACTCATTTTCAGTCAAATGTTGACATATCAAATTATGACTTTTTACCACAAAAGTAAAAACAGGATATCTATCATCCTTATGTAGGCAGAGTGTAATAAGGCTAATATGGGTGCATCTCCGGTAAATGTAAAAATAACTTACACGTGTTGGAGTCCTCTGCTAGACTGAAGTTGGAATTAGAATTAGAGGTATCCAAAACATTGCTTTTTCTTAGATTCTCCTTATTTTCTCTGTGTTTCATAGATTTTTTCGGTTCTGTAACTGGAACCCATTTATATATTTTCATGGTAGTATCGCCAATAGTTACCCATTTCTTTTCCCTTCAAAAATCAATATATTATTATTAAGCCACTATGCTCTATGGCTCCTGCAATTACTTACCAGTGTCGAACTCTGTCTATTACATTCATTACCTTCTTTATATCATCTTTAGCCCTGCTACGGGTCTCAGCCCGAATAGAACGAGACATTTTCTTTTATTTATAACTTATATCAACACAAATATCTCACGAATGGCTATTTTTTTGTTGTAAAATCTAATCATCCATCTTAATACTGAAAAGTCGAAAACGAAAACAAGAAACACACAGAAAGGAAGAAAACAAGGAAAACAAATGATATGAGACATATGTCGTTTGACGTTTAACATTTCACGACATTGACAGTGACAGATTAGTTGACTTCGGAAATTCTAACACCGTGATTCTAACCAACTCCTCAAAATGAATACAGGTTTTGACAGGTTCTGACACATACACTATACGGGGCAAGAGAGAGGTCCGACACGCCCAACATAGGGCGCGGCCATTTTGAACCCTGTGAAACAGTTTACAGCTAAAGAATCAGATCGCTCACTCTGCGTCGGCACTTTGGATCTCAATGTTTCAGTTTATGTAGTCTATTCTGTATCATGCAGTTGCTAGCTAGCAAGTGGCTTAGACCAAGGTCAGTCGTTATGTTACCACTTTGAAAAAATCAGAATTCTCTAAAATAAAATCTGTAACAACTAGTGGTTATAAAAGTGGATTTCGAGTGACTTTAGATTCAGTAAAATATTCTTGGTCCTTAAGCATACTATCTAGTTGCTGAGATGCTGAGAAAGAAATATGGACCTCTCAGATCGTCAAAAGGCCTGCAGATTTGCTTGAGATAAAATTGTATAATACATTTTGCTGTATTAAGTTTTTTTTTTAATTTCAAGCCAGTCCACCAACAAACCATTTCCAAAAGATAAAATTACACTTCTCTTGACGTCCCGGCACTTTCGACTCGAAGGGTAAGTTGTTAAAAGCCTGATGTACACCACACTTACAAGTTGTATTATTTTTATAGTAACCGTATAACGACTTTGACAAATGTAGCTATTCTAGTATTTACGGTTGCTATAAAGTTGTATGTGTCGTCTAAATCAGGCTTTTTTAACAACTTAACCTTAAAGTCAGGAGGGACGGGACCAATGAGGTTTATATCTTCCGGTTATGGACGTTAAGTGAAATATAATTTATCATTTGGGACTTATTAAATTTTGTTGGTGGACTGATTTAAAATTAAAAAAAAATCATAAATATGTCGTAGTTGTAAACTTTTAAGACAGGAAAATGATTTGTGCAATTTTATCGCAAGACGTTTTGATGATCTAAGAGATGGTTCCTATAGACAGCTCTCAGTGACGTTATATATCAACCAGTAGACGTTTTAAAGAGCTGAGAGGCAGGTCTTTAAATTCCCCTGAAGGATGCACAATGGGGCTATTGAGGCCTAAGTGACATAGCCAGTCACCTTTCCTTACATTTACAGATCAAAAAAATAGTATACCCTTTGCCGAAATCTTACTTCATTCCTAAATCAAACCATTAGAGAAAATAATATATGTATTTAGTTCTGATATCTATTATTCCATCAATAAATATACCTTCCATTAATTTCTTGTTCAATTAAAATATCTATTATCCAGGGTCCATAATATTTCTTTCTTAGTGACTAGTTGTTACGCTTAACCATCAAGAATATTTGGTTGCTTCCAAATAACTCCGAATCCACTTTTGTAACCACTCTAGTTGTTACAGATTTAACTTAGAGAATTCTGATTTTCTCAAAGTGGTAATACAACAACTGACCTTGATCATAGCAACTTGGTCGGTGGCATAACTGTATGGTACAGCATAGACTAATTTAGAAATCGTGAATACTGGAATAGCTACTTTTGTCAAAGTTGTTATATACAGTTGCTATGAAAGTGGTAAGATAGCAAGTGGTTAGAAAGTTGCCAAATAACAACTATAGTTACAGAATAGACCCCTATACACTGTGCAACTCGGATAATACAATATATGACAACCGCCTATAATAAAACAGCAGTCTTCTGCGTATCTTGAATTTGTATCCCTGGGGTGGATGTTATTTTGGAACTTTCAACTGGTCCGAGTGAGCTAACAGATTCTTTAGCAATAAACTGTGACTTCAAAAATAATATTCACTGACAGCAGCAAGCAAAATATCAGGTGCGTTTTAATCATCCGTTTCTGCTTCCGGAATTGTCGGTTTAGTCGTTTTAACCTATCAGATTAAAACAAGAAAACCGACAATTCCGAAGCAGAAGCGGACGATTAAAACGCACCTATTAAAAATATTGCGCCAAGATGTAGGCAACACGTAATAAGGGTTCAAAATGGCGGAGTTTTCTATCTCCTTTTAAAAGGCACTCAGAAAGCTGCGCAGTGCGACCATTCTCCGTATAGTAAAAGAAAATCAAAGTATGTGGTTTAGTCCGATTAGTGACAGTTTAACACGCTTAAATGTCATTTAAAAGCACCCTAAAATTTGTCCCGCTCCAGCCCCTGACTATCCGAACTCGCCTAGTGTAGCACTGAGCTACGTCACTTCTGAAAATATTGTTCCATCCATACAATTTGTATAAATGGAACGATATTTTCAGAAGTGGTGTAGCTCAGTGCTACACTTTCCATGCAAAGGAAAAGACCTAATAGGCCAGGTCTTGAATGGTGCCGCCACAGAGTGCCCGCTAGCTTGATGTTAGCTTTGTTTTGGTTCATTTTCATAACTGTTCTAGAACTCTTCCATAACCTTTGGAGCATGCGCAGTAGCTATTTGCTGTTTTGGTTTCGCCAGAACTGTTCCGAACCTTTAAGTTCTGTGTTTTGGTTTTTTTTGGGAATGGTTCCATAACCATTCTCGAACAGTAACGTCGGTTCTGGCCTAAAGCGAGAACTGTCTCAGAATTGATATGTTTGCGCTTGCGCTTTTTTGCAAGTAATTCTGTTTTTGAGATCCTGGCCATGTTTTGTGTTGGAATTTTTACAAGGAATTTTCGAATGACTAATGAGAATGGAGCAGTTGATTAATTGATGTTGAGTCATAAGATTTTTTACGAATTTATTATTTAATTTATCTACGTTTTACTATATTTTGTGGCCTCTTTCTTACGTAGACACTGACCCTGTGTTATTTCTTCTTTTTTATTTATAATTTACTCTTTGACGTTAAACTGTTCTGGCAGTGTTTTGGTTTCGAATACAATGGAATGGTTACAGAACTGTTCAGAATTAAGGACCATTGCGCAATAGTTCTGCGCATGGTTCTGGAACAATTCTAGAACGTGAACCAAAACAAACCTATAGCTGTTTCGCCTCCTTATTTCTAGTCTTCATAAGGTGAGTTCGGGCTGCGCACTCCAGAGTGGAGTGGAGTAATTAGGCATAAACGGAGTGCGAATATGATTTTACTCCTTTAACTCTCGGAGTGCAATGTCAGTTGTCAAGGTGACATACCAGGGCTGCTATTTTCTAACTTATGCGAAAATATTCGTATTCGAGTACTCGTATACGGATTTTTTTCGTATGACAAATGTTTTTGGTATTTTGGATGCCATGCGATAAGCCATTCGTCTCGTATAACTTTAATCGGATGACTAGCGTCGGCAACGCTGGAATAAATACAGTTATACCACAACAATAAAGAAATGACAAGGTGAAAATTTTTGCAAATCGTAAGGGATGCTTTTAATGTTCAATTAGGCATTCCAAACTGAATGGCTACCAGTGGGTTATGATATGGCAAAATTATGGCAACCCTGTAGCCCTGGTGATTTGACAAGGTCAATGAAATAGACAGTTACATAGATTGATCAACCATATTTTTCAAAATAAACATAAGCTTATGCCTTGAAGTAAAAATGTAAGCAATTATTTTTTTTTAAATATCTATAGGCTAGAAATTGGTTTTAAAACACATTTTTGTTAAACCGATTCAAATTAATAAATATTTGCTAGGCAATATGGCCGCTCGTAAACGACCAGCTTAGAGCAATCTTTATAACTATATATGTATCATTGACCCTGTTAATGACAACATGACAACAGGGTTGCCATATCTAAACTGTCATTACCCACTGGTAGCCATTTGGACAGGTCGTTGGAATGCCTAATATTTTTCTGTATTATTGCCGCTAATGACATTTTATTATATACAAATGGTTAACTGTCATTATTTTGAGCACTAGAAAAGTTATCTGTATTGACCTTTATTATTTTACGTATTTTATTTTAGGATGTTTGAATGTAATTTTTGCAAAATTTTCGCTTGTTTAACGGCTTTCATTTTGACCAATATTGCAATAGGTAGCTAAAACCTAAAATATTTAGGTTTAATAAAATGTTCTAAGCTAATATAAGCCAATAAGTATATTATTTATGGGACCGTTTATAGAGGATGATTGATAAAAAATAGGTAGGTAATATTTTACCTACAGATTATATAAATAAAAATATATTTTTTTTTATCTAATAACGGGGTCAAATATTAATAGTTACTGAAATACAGGGTGTTACAGTTATAAAAATAATTCATTAATGTCATATTTTAATTCATTTCTCTCGCATAAACGTAAAAGTCGGTATTTTTGACGTGGGAAAATCAAATAAGCTATAAATGTTTGCTGTATCGCATAAAGGGCGATATACGTAAGCCTTAGTTTAACGAAATTCGTATTAATATTTAACCAGGGGGTGGGTGGCTCAGTGGTTATAGTCTGGACTTTCGGATCCAAAGGCCCCGGGTTCGAATTCCGCTGGTGACGGGATTTTTTATTTAACTTAATTAAAAGTTAATACCAATGTACAGGCAGGATTCCCCACTCAATCATCCACTGTTGGGTTTTAATTAACAGTGCTGTTTCGAAAGTGGTGTTGGAAAACAGTAACAAAGCCTACATAGAACACGAGGCTAATAACCTAAGTAGCGAATGCCAATGACACCAAATAAAAAAATATGTACCTAAAGCTTGGTTATCAAGCAAAAAATTATTATTTTCTGTTACACATTCTGCAGGTTAAATATTCCTTCTTGCCTCAAAATAATTGTCTAATTCTTGGAGTCATCTTCTCCTTAGTTCTAATGTATATTAGATAATGTTTCAGCTTCTTCAAATGCTGCTAAACTCTCTAAATTAATCATATTGTTAAATATTTCGCTTTTAATTCAAGAACCGCTTTTTTGTCATTTATTTGTAGCATATATTAACTTAATCACTTACGAATCAGTTGAATTTAGTATACGGATGCATTAATTCGTATCCCTTTGACCATGCGATGTATTTCCGTAGAAAAAATTCGCATACGGATATTTTTCGATTCCTTCAAAATACAGTTTACTGCATTTCATACGAAAACGCCAAAATTCCGTATGCGAAAGTCACTCGTATGAGTTAGAAAATAGCAGCCCTGTACTTAAAATTTAATCGTACTTATCAGTAACGACCGTATAAGTTTCTTCTATTGCTGCGTTTGAGAATCCACATCGGATGCATCTGAGATGTAAAAAATCTTTGATCACGTGATTCAGTATACGTAAATGTAATGGGATAGATGTGTCCGATGCGGATAAAAAAACGCTCGAGATGTAAAAAATGCATCCGATGTGGATTCTCAAACGCAGCATATATTAATGATATTCACGAGAACCAAAAAAAAACTTATTTACTAAAGAATCAGTCACAACTTATTATCGATTTAAATCACCTTATGCGCATGCCCGATCCACACTCCACTCCACCATCTCCGAACGGTCAAAGAGGAACTTTTATTTTAACTCCTTCCGTACCCGAACGCCTTAGGTACTTTAGGAGTGAATATAGTGAAAAGAGTGCGTAGACCGAACTCACCAAGTGTTTTAAAATAGGCCCACAAGGACTCTCGTTCGTTTATTACAATTTCAGACATTTCAAATGATTCGAATGATATTCGTATAATCGAATTAATTCGAATGATAGTAATAATCGAATATTCGAATAATATACCATTCGAATGATCACATATCACATCACTAAAAGTATAGCCAACTGTACTTTGTTTAGTTACAAATTTGGCAGTCCATTTTTCGTAGTATTTCAAAAATTAAGTATGGCTGATTCTGTCGAGTTGCGTATGAGTGTAACGTCCATAAAAAGAGTAGATCCATATGTAAAAGATATTTTAGCAAGTGCTACACACGTCGCTTTATACAATTTTAATACTTCCACCAACGAGTGGGAAAAAACCGAGACAGAAGGTGCTTTATTCATATATAGCCGAAATGGGGAACCATTTCACAGTATTATGATTATGAATAGGTTAAATACTGACAACTTGATAGAACCCATTGTCAAAGACTTCGATTATCAGATGCAAATACCGTTTTTACTCTACAGGAATTCGAAAAGTAGAATATTTGGTATTTGGTTTTTCAATAGAGAAGAGTGTATCCGGATTACATTTTTAATTGAATCGATAATGGAAGGATTCAAAGAAAAGTCCGACAGGAGGTCGGTTAAAAAAGAAAATAATATTGATATATTTAGCATGTTATCGAAAGCCCAGGAAGATTATAACAAAACACCAACAAAGCAAGATGTTATTCCAACATTTTCATCAACTCCTAGAGTTCCAGATGTTACTTCAAGTGTTATGGACTTTTTTGCTAAAGCTGGGACAAAAACTGGCCAAACACCAGCTGTGCCTGGAATTCGTGAAGAGAATGTATTGCAAAGGTTGATGTCTAACCCGGCACATTCAGTTGAACATATAGAAAAACAGCAGAGATCTATTACTCCACAGGATCAGCACTCAAATGTGCAAACTAAATTGGTAGCTAGCAGTGATAGAAGAAGTGTGCCTATAACTTTTCCAAGTTCTACTATAGTGGACAAGAAACCAGGTAGAGAGAATGGAGTAAGGTTAAATAGTGCTTCTAAACCTCAACCATTGATGCAAAATACTTCACCTCTTGCCTATTTATTACAGCAGAACCAACAGCCACAATCTGATAAAGAAGGAAACCAAGATCTTCTTAGCAGTTCTCCTTTTGGACAGGTAAGTTTTAATTTACATGTGGGTTTTCCAATTAAACTTCCAAAATGAGGTTGCACCTCCTTAGAATGTTTCTAGATGTTTTCGTAATGTGGGTTTGATTTCTACTCGTGCTGTATAGTACTTTACCTTTTTTCCCTATTCCAGGTGGATAGGTTCCTTAGTTTTGTTTCTGCAGCATATCAAGGGCCTGCACAGTTTAAAAAGTAAACTTGCCTTTTATTACAGTTTGGCAATGTTTAACTGAATACCTATCAAATACATATGCCCCAAGTTCATACCCTTATATTTACAACATATTAGACAATTTTATATTACTGAAATTAAAAAATTTAAGAATAACATGGTGTACAGTATGATATATAGCCACTCTTGTTTATATACTTATGTGATGTATAAATGTTTTTTATATTTTGATAATTAGTTGATGTTTCTTGTGAGACCAGTGAAATTTGATTACTTTATGTACAGTTTGGTTTACATTAATTTCTGCAGTTTCATTTTTACAGCTACTTTAAAATAATCTAGCTATAAGTAGGCAAGTACAGTTCCTGGCTCTAATATGATTTTTTTCATATTTATTTTGTTTGTAAATATTAAAGTACAGGGTCTTCCTTAATAATATGGGAATATTTGAGGGTGTAAATCTACATAAAAAAATTAACTCGAGAATTAATGATAGTTTGATTTATAAACTATGGTCCAAAAATGTTTCTTTGCCAAAATAGGAGTACTAAAGTTTTAGGATAAAGATAAAGAAATTAATTAATATTTTCGTAACTGCTGATATAGTTAAGTGATATTTAATATTCAGTTACAGTTAATAACGGTACATATATTTAACAGTGGCGTGCTCCGTTTTTGAGTAAAAAAGGAAGAAAAAAGTTAAACAAAACAAAAAAATATTAAAAACTGGAAATTTGGACCATTTTTGTTTCACCCTTTCAGGCATCCTTTTCCCTCACCCTGAGGAATTCCGTCAGACTCTCCCCAATCAGGCTTGGGTCCAGCCACTGGCTCCCCTCATTCAGGCTTGGGGTCCACTCTGCTCTCCCTCCACTTAGGGTTTGCATGGTGGCACTGAAGCGCATATGGCTTATTGTACCACCATTTGAATGCCCTACTCCTTCCCGTTTATCATACATTCCACATCTTCGATGGTTAACTGCTAATTGGTCCAGTGGTCACACATCCAAAACCTGACCGAAGACATCACAGCTTAACTGTCGCGAGAACGGAGTACACCTAGAACTCGTCGAGGATACAGTTGTATTGATACCCATATAACTTCTCTCATAACCACAACTGTCAGTTGTCGGCGAAATTCGTCAAATATTTTTTCATATTCAAAGGTTTAATTCTCACGCCAAGTTAAGTAAAATCAAGTATTGGCATTTAGCAGTGAATGTCGGAGCCCACCGGGCCACCCAAATCGCCGAAAGGCTTACACTAAAACACTTAAAAATAGATGACGGCTAAACAGAGATGAAGGCGCAAAGTCGCAACATTTCACTCAGCCAAGACTTTCAAGGTGAAACTGAAGACTAGCCATCTAAAAGAGTTTGCTACTACTATAACCACTAATACAGGGACCAGCTGCCCGATCCAAGAGCCCCCCAGGCCAAAATTATTGAACTTTCACCTTCAAGTGACCCTCAAAGACTGAAAAAGTGAAAAATACCTCTGAGAACAGGGATACTGCCTCTAGAAAGCCATCAAGTGCTGCTTCTGAAGATGTTGGTTATCAGGACGGCCAAGAGAGCTTCAACAATAGTCAAGACGACAACAATGAATATAAAACAGTAAAAAATCTCTTAGACGTTTTAGAAGACTCAAAGTAAATCGTCGGACAGTGAGATTGATACTACTGTAGTTGATGAAACTATAACCAAAAAGGCAGACAACACTGCAGTTACATCACAAAATAAACTGGTGACAGCACCAGCATATAAAATGCTTCCATTACCCACAAATGTAATCAAAAAGCTTCTTGATTTCAGCACTAATCATTTTAGTGGAAGCCCTCCCCCAAACATGATTTAAAACACAACTGGAGGTGTGGAAAACGCCCATTCGGGGGTGAACTGAACTGAGTAGCCTCTCGTCTGGGTATGTCCCCACATCCCCAACAATACGCTTTTCACAACATATCGCTCCAAACTCTCCCCCTGCCTAGTTGAAGGACAAGCAACCCAGAACTAGACTGAATAATGAGAGTCTCTAATAAGTGTTTAGGTAAAAACCAAAGACATCCCTAGTAGTATTGCTAAAAACATACTACAATACGATTTGAAAATGCATGATAGCACAGTTTTTATGGCTTATCTGAATTTTTACCTGATTTTATTATGACCACCCCAAAAACGCTCAAATATAATGCACCATAAAATGTAAATAAGCAAACCCTAAGGTATTAACCAATAATTATATACCTCAGGGAACATGAAATTACTTTAATACAAAAAAGTACCAACATTTATTTTTATAAAAATAGTATACTAGATGTTAGGTTCGAATATTTCTATCTATCTATCAATGGCTTATTGTACCCCCTCACAGTTTCTATCCCATCAGATTGATTTTCTTGATGAATTCAAGAATATGTCTGATGGGCGCTTTCGCGATTTCTTCAGGTTACGGATATTGTACCCCGAAGTACCATTCCCGTTCCCATTTAAGGTTCCGGCAGTGGCATAGTATGTGAATAGGAGTTTCGTCATCCTCTTCACATATTCTACACAGGGAGTCATCAGATATCCCTAAGAGATTTAGGTTCTTCTAAGGACGCAGTGTCCCGTAAGGAGTCCTATTACGGCTTTGAGTTCGCTTCTGCTGTTTTCTCGTTTTAAGTCCTTTTCTCCTGATCAGGAGTCATCATCATCAGTTTCATCACTTCCCACAGAAATTATTGGTTCTATTGTTTCCTCTATTAACATATCAAGTTTCCAGAATTTCTCTTCCTCTGCTATGCCATGTCTTTTAATGTTTTGCCAATTGTCTGGTGAAATTTTTGATATGGTGTCACATAATAGTTGATGAACATCTTGAAGTTTAAATGTTGTATTGTTTCTCGTGACATATCCCTTCATTTGAGCCCATATTAGTTCAATGGGGTTAAGTTCACAGTGATAAGGTGGTAACTGCAACTCTAACTCCATGTTCTTTTGCTATTTGGACTATGCTTATTTAAAAAGAACCAAACACCAAATTGGAGTTTTTAGATATTAGGGGTTAAAGATGAGAATGCTTTATTAACATAATTTATTTATTTAAACGGGATCAACCCCATTACAAAGCAAAACACATATAAATGATACAGATAATTGTAAGTACTGCAAATGAGTTCCTAACCAACCGAAGATTTAGAAAAAATATTAGTCATAGATTTTTTATTCATACTTTGCCAAAAACATGCAATTTATTACCGTTAGATATTAGGCTCACCACTAGATTTAAACGGTTTTCCACTGTAGCTAGAAATTTTATCTTTCATAATTATATTGAATTTGTAAAAATTCTAGAATAAAAAATTAAAAAATAAAATAAATGTATATAATAGAATATGTAGGTAGGCAGTAAAATAATAACAAAAAAGTATTTATCAAATTACTCTATATTTGCTCTTACATGTTAAATTTTTAATTTATATTTAATGTAATACAACACAGTATATCGTTTAGAGGGGCACAACACAAGTGTTCAATCACTTAGGTGCTTAACTCTGGATGTTCATTTCAATTCAATTAAATTGGATTACATTAAGTCATTTTTGGACATACATAAACAGTAAAAGTAAATTAAATGAAGATTATTATTATCTATTACTACCGATTTTAACCTGCTGACTTCGACCTGTCAAAAAACTTTTAACCCATTTCACCAGCTGAAATTGTATACCAAATGGCTCTAGTTTTGATAACAATATTTCATGATCAACCCTGTCAAACGCTTTAGCGAAATCTGTGTAAATAGTCAACTTGTTCTTTAGCTTCTAAAACATTTAATATAGTTTGTTGGTATAACAATAGATTTGTAACTGTAGATTTGTTTTGACAGAAGCTGTGCTGGTTATTAATCAAAAGTTCCTTGCAGTGGGTCCTACACTATTTTTATTAGGAAGTTTAGATATTTTATCAAAAATCAACTCAGTAGAAAACAATGGACAGGAAATATTAATAAATGTGGCCAAATTAGAATCATTATTCCTGTTTATATGAAAAGAGTCAGTGTATACTGTACCAAAGTAATTTGCAAAATTTTCTACAATTTGTTCTCCATTTGTTGCTAAGTTACCATTATAGTGCATTGTGTTAGGTAAGTTATTACATTTACTTTTACTGTTTATGTATGTCCAAAAATATTTGGGATTATTGTATAAAGATGGGTTTACCTGTCTAATATAATCATTCTAACATGTTCTAGAAAGATTTTTACAAGCCGCTCTCAATTCCGAAAAGTATCTGTAGTCTTCTATATTATGAGTTGTCATGTATTGTTTATGAGCCGATTTTTTTTGCCTCACGAGATATCTAAGTTCCGCATTGAACCATTTAGGGAAATTAGACGAGACAAATCTTTTTAATGGGACAAAAAGTGCAACACCCATCTTTACGATATGATAGAACTCATTCGAGGCAAATAATGAGTATAGAGAACTCCAGCTTTTTGAATTAGTTTCAGATAGTTAATATGTTATTATAAGCACAATTTTATAAGTTTATTAAGCTACCTAGAAACATGAGTTTGAAGATATTTTTGATAAATGGTTAAAATTACAAATTTACGTTTTCTAATGTGTTGTTTGGTTCATTGGCTAAAATATGGCACAAGAGTAGAGCTAGTAATTGAATCTATTTATACAAGGTAAATTCCTCTGTCGCTTGATGCCTCTAGCTCATTTTTACCAATTTGTTACTTGGTTCTGTATAGATAAGCATAGTCTATTTCATCTACACTATACTTCTTAAATTTTGGTGAATGTTGTTTACATAACTTCAATAGCT